CATGTGAAAAAATTGGTAAGCTGAGGGGGGATCATGCGATTTTTAAATGGTGCTTCCCAAATCCCACCAGCCCCCCCTCCCTCATAAAAAATGAACGGTCCCTTAATGAATTGATTATTTGAATATTGAACCCGCTAGTCGTTTCAAGAATGCAATATTGAATTGACTATTTGAATATTAAACTCGCTAGTAATTTCAAAAATCAATAGTAAATTGATTTTTTTGAACATTAGGCCCATTAGCCGTATTCTTGGAAGGACTAGTGGATCCAATTTTCCAATAATCAATTCAATATTTCATTCTTGACACGACTAGCGAGTTCAATATTCAAATAATCAGTTTATTAATGTAATCTTGAGGGGTACGCCTCACTTGGTTTGACTGTAACATATAACGTATCGTCAAAGTTAATTCGTTTTTGCCATCATTAAAATTTGTTTACGTTTAGGCCAATTACGATTCAACACCTGCAGTTCTTCCGAACACCGAAGCTCTTACCGCGGTGTTTTGAATTGAAATTAACCAACTGAATAATTTTATTTTCTAACTTCGACTGCATCAAGTATGCAATTTTCTCCACTGAACTGTCTATGCAAACGTAGAAGTCAAAGAACAGAAAGATCGCTTATCTTGATACGTAGCCGTGTTATGCCATTACGTGACGTTTTCTAATGTGCGTCAATTAACACAGTAGGCGTGATAAGTGAATTGTTGGCGTGGCAAGTAAGAATAAATGTATAACATGTTCTTTTAAATTCCCTCCACTTAAACATGTTTGCCATTCTGCTGTGGAAAGTGTACTGACGCAGAACACTGAATAGATTTAATGATGAAGTGATGAAACTTGCCAAGTTAAATGACGGTGAGTGAGCAAACTGCAACCCTTCTTTTTTCACTTTTTTTTTTTCCTACGGGAAATTCAAAACGTGTGAAATAGGATATTATAGTGTTAATTTACAACGCTTCCTACCGTTTGATATTGAGGATTTTAGAAATGTTATTAAGCGGCGCTTTTATAGCGTTGGACCAAGATTTCAGACAAGGACAAAAATTGCAATGGAGCATTCCGAGGAGTGCAAAATACTGTTTGCTCGTTATAAGCGAGCTTAAGTGGAAATCTCAGATCTGATATCATTACATGAGCGAACTTCGAATTCACAAGTAGACATTCTTTGCGTCACCTGATGAATTGGTCGAGACGCGTCATGGCTAATCAAATTGGCAAGATAAACGAAATCTGTTCAGTAATAAATAGCGAGATGTTAGCTGAAATTAGTCTAAATATACCTTTTAACTGAATGCTTTTTGAGTCGCGGATCGAAAGCAGAATCATGCGACTGGCTGGCCAGCCCATTGCGTGTAAATAATTTACTGTAAATTGCTTTGGTTATCACTTTAAAAAAGTGTATCTTACTCCGATTTGTAGTCTTACGCTGATCAAAATGTGGATAAGAGATCATTCATTATAATTATAGTACTGTGATGATATAATATATTATATATTAAGCTGCCGCAGAACTCTATTCGTCAAAAAAAAATCAACTCAAGCTGATGATCAGAATACATAAATATTTAGAAAGTTCGACCTATTGATGATCTAAAAAGCATTGCAGCGCTCTAATCTTTACAAGTGCTCTGCTTTTTCGTAATGTGAAATACACGAAAATAGACGATGGGCTTCAAAAAGGATAAGGGTTGCTTTTATTGAGATGACATATGTTTGCATGAATGCAAAATTAAATAAGAAGGTAAGAGGTTTCGGTAATTGTTTTATTTCTTTTGTTTTTCTGAAAAAGAGATCAGCTTAGAATCATACTGAACACATCAGTAATTTAATGTTACACAAGAAGCCTGGAATAGAAATGGTTGAGGGACTTCATTTGACCAGCGAACATAAACGAAAGACTCGCAAACGATAATCCTGTCAACAGCAACTACTGAAGTTTCCAAAACAGTGAGCTCAATTAAAATATATCTATATACAGCTTACAATTTAAAAAAAAGGCAGTCGCTTTTTTTGAATACTCTTGTTCATGTTGTTAAGAAGTATTTTATCCCAAATTTTTTATTGTTTAATGTTTCAAAAAATTCGCAAATTTAAACAGTTTTTTTTCTTCGGATGATTTGACCCAGCAATACAATAAATATGATTTCTTTTTATTTCAGACGTGTTAGATTAAAGCTTTAGACCATGACGTCAAAACTGTTATGGTCATTTTTGGTCCTCACCCTTGTGACAGAAGTTTCATCGTGGACGCACACTGAAGGTAAACATTCATTGTATAACTGGTGAACGATAAAAATTGCTACGAGTTTTGGATTTTGATCACCATCCAGCAGCGTAATTTCTGAGGAAAAGAAGACTTGGTTTGCTTCTTCGTTTGTTAGTTCGTTCCTTCGTTCGTCCTTCCTTCCGTCCGTCCGTCCGTTCCTTCGTTCGTTCGCTCGCTCGCTCG